CAGGCAACAGATTATTTGCTCAGGATCCCTTCCTTTGCCAAGAAATATTGTACCCCWGGCGAGGTGTGGGCTTTGTCACCTGCTCTGTGAGCACACCAGGAACCAGGAGACTCAGGACACAAAGGAAATGTTTGCAGTAGGATCGGGAATGTGGCAGCCTTTCTCTCATGGATGAAACATTTGGGGATTTTATGACTGGAAGGTAAACTTTGAAGGCAATATTCCCGGCATTTTTTTTTCCCCTGGTGCAATTCAAGCTGTTTTTCCATGATTACCTGTGCTGATGAATGTGCTGAGGAAGCACGTCACTGGGGTGCTTCAGGAGGGACAAGTGACAGTGTAATTGGGTCTGCCAGTGTAATTGGCAGCTCRTAACCTGGGATTTGGAAGAGGAGCTGCAGTGACCCCTCCACTGATGCAGGACAGCAGTGAACTGCACCTGCAGCTCCCTGCATTCCCTGTCAGCAGTYTCCATGCCAAGAGCCAAGATAAGCCCACTTATCCTGTGCCCAAGGTCATTACTGGCACTGCAGCACCAGGGTGAAAGAGCACAGACTTTGAATGGAAGTTTACTCCAAGCAGCCAGCTTGGAGGTTTGGAAGAACCCTCCAGAAGGGTTTCTTTATTTTTGTCTATTTGACAGACTTTCCTTCTGTTGACTCCTCTAGTTTGGAAGGGAAAACAACCACCATCATCAGCCAGACCCAGTGTTATATTTTAGCATAACATCCTCATTCAATTAATAGCAATAAAAGTAGAAACTTTGAGACACCTTCTTTTCCCCCAGAACTTACCAAAAAAAGAAATTAATTTTCTAGAGTTTTATTGCATCATCTGTGCATCAAAACAAAGCATGTCATTTCTGTGTTGGGTGAAAAGTAAAAGAAAAGGAAAAAGTTGATTTCWCATCATGGTGTTGCCTTTGGTTTTGTCCACCAAATAGCTCAGATTCACAAAGGGCTTTTTTTCTGCTGTCCTCTCTGCCCCAGAGGATTTGAGTGCTCAGGAAAARGCACAAATTCTGYRTATTTTGGGACTCTTCCTWATCCCACCTTGTAGAAATAACCATMSAGCAGCAAGAACTGGTGCTYTCAAGACCCATTGGTTGTCATCTCCATGAGGAGTTAATTAGCCTTCATTAGCCCTAATTTGCCCTTTTGCTCACTGGATAAAAAGACCAGGAACTAGCACAAACACTTCCTGTACCAAAATGATCACTTTTGGGGAAATTACTGTTTGGCCAAAAATCATTATTTCTCAAGATCACTGCTGTGCCTTTGTCTGGCACACTGAGAGCAGTGGGACTAGAGAAGGACAAGGAAAATGGAATTTCTGCTTTCCTCTACACCTACATCACACCTACTCCAGCTGGTCCTAGGGAGGATGAGAAAGATTGGATCTTTTTCTCCCCAGATGTAAAGAGAGCAATGTTTCTAGCATAAGCCAAAAGTAGACATTCACCACTAAAAAAAAAAAAAAAAAATAGGAAAAAAATCAGAACTTCATGCTCAGCACTGCAGATCTGTGGTTTCTCTCCAAGTCCTCCCCAAGGCCGTGCAGCTGCCCTGTGGGGACACCTCGTGGCCCAAGTGGCACCATTGGTTTCCCTTCAGGGATCACCTCTCCTTTGCACACAGTCTGCACAAAGTATTTTAGCTGCCGGTATGACAGCTGGGAGAGAAACATGAAACCAAATTTGGAGGAAAGAACTACAGGGGACAAGTCTAGACCCACTCTTCTAACAATTTTTTTAGCACCTAGAGGAATTATAAGTGGCTGAGTTTGAACCCTCCATCCTTTCAGATGCCCTTGGCCAGCAGTGCTTGGCTACTGTCATCTCCTGCTGGCCAGTGTGAGTGATCTGTSACCACCAGCCCAGACTCACAGGGGGCACATGGGATGGAGGCACTGGGGAGGTGCTGCCAAATCATGGGGATTTGATTTGTGATGGCTGAGAACAAACACTTCACCAGATTTCATGGTACCAGCCTGGGTATTAATGAGAAAATTTACCCCAAGTCTGGTTTCACAGTGATGCAGCCAGACAGGAGCACAGCACACAAGGATTAATTATTAATTAATTATTATTAATTATTTCTGTTTGTGCAACCTGTAGATAATAACCTGGCACTTGCCAAGAAAAGCCAACCCCATCTCCTGTGGCTGTGCAGAGTGAAACAGGAATGCTGCTCCCTGCTCTGGGTATTGCCCTTCAGCAGCATCAACAAGCCCTAAACACACAGAGGAGGCCTCTGGCTCATCTCAGTGCCATGGAGAGAGAGGTGGGAATGTGGGTATTTCACCAAAACCTTCCCTCTCCTGTCCTAGAATTTCCTGGGCCCYCAGCCCCTCGCAGAATAGGATTTGTTTGCTTTCTTGTGGACAGGTACTTATTCTCCAGGCACACAGGTTGAGGGGAAAAAAGAATTATCCAAGTGTGACTTCCTCTCTACTAGCTCCATCTGGAGGCTCCAAGAAAACTTGCATTGTGAAATTATTTGTATTTATTTATGTAACCATTTATTTAGGATTTAAGGTGGTCTTGGCATTGGTGACCGTGTTTAGCAGACTTGAAAAAACAAAGCATCTGTGCAGTTAGGGTTTTGGTAATAAATTAAGATTCTGTAAAAGCAGAACACTGGGCTTATTTCTAGCAAAGCAGCTGACTGCATCTCTATCTGTTCATTTCTCTATTTACCTGCRGTTACAGTGTTTTATTTTAAGATGTTGACTGCTCATCCTCTGTTCTAATTCAGTAGCATTTATCATGCTGCTATGCAAAGCTGCCACTTAAAGAGATGTTGCAATAGTTTAAAAAAAGTGGTATTGGAACTTAAAATATCTGCTCTTTGAACTGCAAATAGTTCAATTTATGTAACTTCCTCTTCTATTACTACTGAGGTGTAGCAATCCTCTAGGATTTGTTATTTGGAATTCAAAATGTGTCTGCAAATGTAAAAAATACCCCAAACCACAGGGAGGGAGAGGGAGGGGGATGAAGAAAAAAAAATTCTAATAAGCTCATCCAGGAAATCTTTGCTCTGTTTTATAAACCCAGTGCTCTGAAAGCACTTACCAGAGTTCTCCTGCCCCCCCTGAAGGAAAGTGAGACTCAAACTCGTTGATTTTATATGATGTGATGCCTTGTAAATCCACCCAGGGGCAAAGCTCTGTGATGAGCATCAATATAATGTTAATTCAGATCCATCTGTTAGATCTGGAGTTTCCAACTTCACCTGAGTTACTGTAAGAARTAACAGGGATAGCTGTGCTGGGAGAAGAATGGTGAYACAAGACAAACTTGGAATCAGTTTTTTGTTCATTTGGGGAAAAGCTTTATTTCTTCTCCCTYTCAAAAGAATTCTTGCTGGCAATGRAAAGCTGTCAAGAAAGCMCAAAGAGATCAGATTAGCAGCCTGCCTTGTGCAGCTTTCAGGAGCACGAAAGGAGAGTTTGGGATGCAGGGATTTGGCATTCCATGACAAGGCATGCCAGTCAGGCTGAACACTTTCCAGCCCTCCCTGGGAGCCTTTCTGCTGACACACAGACAGTCAGGAGCCCTCATGTTCTCAGCTGCTCCATCTAGAAACCTTCCACAAGGGATCTGACAATTCCAGCCTTAATTTCCCCCAGGATTTGTTTCTCAAAGTATGTTTGTATGCACTCACAGGATTTACTGCTTGAAGTCCTAAATAACTTCGTTCTCTTGGAGAAGTAATTAAGAAATAAAGAATGGATGTGAAATCCCTTCTTGCACAGAAAGAGTCTGCATGTCCTGAAAATACCTCATCAGAAATTGGAAAGTAACTTCCAATACAAAGAATATCCACCACGTGGTAGTTCGTGAGTAGCAGGATGGTAAAGCATTTGGACAATGAGCAGATGAGAGACTTCCTGTGAAACTGGTTCATGGGAGTGGGGAGGGAGCAGAAACTGCTTAAAACTCAGCAATGAGGAGTTAAATGTCAGTGCAACTGTTACCTTGAGTTCAGTGTATCATGASAGATACTCTATCAAGCACTGAGGTTAACTATAAAATTGTTCTGACACATTGTTAGAAGCGTTACTTCTCAAGGAGTGAGGTGTCTCCTGCTTTAAAACAGATATCAAAAAACCCTGAAGAGCCAGATCTTCCTTTTCAAAGCTTCTTCCCTACACTGTGATGCTACAGCAGGTATGGCACAAAGMACACTGTGCACCAGCAGCATTTATCACCCCTTATTTATGTTTATCAGGCATAGATGTGCACTTTTCCCTTTATTTAACCTTTTTATCCAAGCAACTGTGCACTGGAGCCATCTCCTGTAACCTTCACTGCAAAACACCTTAATTTAAAATGAACTGTAGCATGATAATTACTGCAATGAATTGCTTTGGTCCCTGAGCTCATGTTGAAATGAGGTTTTACTGACTTTGCATGGAACACCAGAAGGCAGTCAACACATTGGCAGCTTTCCTTCCCTCCCTAATTTCTGTCTAAACTGTCATGAAAAGACAGGTGTRTGAAATTTCCTCCTGATAACTAAACTCTAAGGGGCTCAGAGGAATGAGAAAATCATTCMAAAAAAAWGAGAAATATAAAAAAAATACAACTGTTATACTTCCTGTCTATTCCTAAGACTGCAGAAATGYATAAATTCTTGCAACAGCTGCTTCATAAGCATTCATGGCATTCCCTCACTGTGCCCTGTCCCAGCTGTCCTGTGCTGCAGCATATTCCCATTTTCTGAAGTGCTTCTTTCCCCTTTCACCTCTATGCATCATTGTCAGTGTACTTASTAGGTGCAGCAATATTCTGAGAGCAGACTTATTTTTATGGATAAGCTCACTGATATTCACTGATTTATTTTATATTCTGACTGGTAACTCCTCAAAGAAACCATTCAATTTGGTTATAATATTCAGTTTAACCTTTCATTTTCTGGTCAAAGCAGCTCTGTTTTTCAAATCCTCATTTAATGAAAACAAACAAAAAAGAAGAAAAATGAGATGACTCCAGATATGACAGACCAAGATTTACTTTAGTATAAGGCAGAAACTACTAATAGAACAGGACAGACAACAACTAAGGCAAAGGGAAATGCTAGTCATCAATAAAGTTTCTTAAAACTAGTTTCCCTCAGTTTCTTAAAATAGGCTTTCAGGGTTTTTTTTAATCTTGTACAATCAAACTGTTAGTTACGCAACTAAAACATGCAAATGAAGTGCAACAGACTACTCTTAGCCATTATCTGATTRAGCAACTTTTAATATTTCTATTGACAAACATTGTAAGCATAACCAGAGTGAACTGTGTATACTTGAAATCTGTCCRGTGATAGATTTGAGTCACTGAACTACCGGTTCAAGGAGAATTGCTGGCATTCTAACTTCATTTTCAGTTGAGACATAGGATGCTGAAGTGATCACRAACTAGGACGTGCTCCAGTAGTGCCAAATTCTAATCAAAACTCAGATTGTGCGTTAGTAGCCGAGGCRAACAATTATCCTGTACCATACACAAAAAGCAACTAGTATTGAACAGACAAAAAGTTTGGTCAACAAACTAGTTTTACTTCTTTAATAATATTTTKCTAATAACTCAAGAGGCACCACAGTACCAGTAAGCATATGAAATTTAAAATGCACAATGGCCACAAACAGTTGACTTGGATACAGTAGTAGTGTTTGGTAGAAGACCTACAGACGGCTTTTTGATTCTTCCACTCTTACACAATTTTGTATTTCTTCCTGACCTAGTCATGCACTGGAGAGGAATTCCACAGCAGTCTCCTTCTCTTCAGCTAACTCCTTGGCAGTAAGATCCATCTTCTCACGAGAAAAATCATTAATAGGAAGACCCTCAACAAACTTCCAGGTCTTGTCCTGATTGAAAACAAGCAAATAAAGAGCCCTCCATGTAAGAACAGTCTTCATTCAGTCTGCATTAAAGAAACTTTGTGGTACAAGAACAAACCTTACAGCCTTAAAAACCCCATCAGGCAGCAGTTAATTTTATTTCAGATAAAGAATGCAGCCAGCACCAGCTAGTCATGTCAGATTCTACCTGTCTACCAGCACTTAGTCGACAATCAAGTTAACTTTGCTGGTTAATAACTTATCTGTGAAAGACTGCTGAACCCCCACATGCCAGCAACTGCAGTCCCACACCGCTGTTAACGAGYTCACATGACAGTTTAATAGGTCCTGCAGTAGATACACGGATTTAAATACAGCCTAGTTACCTTAATCACAACAGGGAATGAATACAGCAAGTCTTCAGGAACACCATAAGAATTGCCATCAGAAATTACTCCCATCGAAACAAATTCCCCCTGAAACCAGAAAAGTAAGAGATAAATAGATTTTTCACTGCTAAAAGCAAGCAAAGTTTTGATAATTTTCAGTATCTTTTATCTCTGATGACACCCCTCACTCCAGAGAAGGACAGATTCTTTCTCTGAACACACATACACCTGAGGTCAATGACATGGGCACACAGTCAAAGCATTAGGCAAACAAGCACAAACCCAAGAGCCACATCTTACCGCTGGAGTGCCAAACCAGATGTCCCTCACATGATCACAGATAGCTTTGGCAGCTGACATGGCACTGGACAGCTTCCTGGCCTTAATAACAGCTGCTCCACGTTGCTGAACAGTCTGCAATTAAGAAAAAAGCCAACAACCGTAACTAAATTGTAAAGCAGCAAAATCATGGCTTGGTCTACGTGCTGTTAGTAAATGCCATCAAGAAAGACTGCAGTGTGTAATTATTTATCAGTGAARAYASAGYTCTTTCACAAAACAAACATGGCGTRCAATCTAGAAGAGTTTTGCCAACACAAGAATGTAACAGAATGTTTCAGAGGCTCATTCCTCRRCTTTACAGCTTGYTGACTTCTCTCATGCCAACCAGATGTCTCAAGCTTTTCCCACCAAGTGACTTCATGCACATCAACATTAACAGATGTCTCAARCAACACACTGTCAACTAAGATCTTCTSCTGAATACCAATGTGAAACACGTGCTGGTCTCAATCCTACAGTACTTAATGCATTCATTTATTTCTGCAAATAGTTGAACCCACCTCTCCATACTCAGGTTTATATTTAGAAATGGTCTGTTCATGAATTGCAGTTCTCAGAACCAGAGCAGCTTCTTAAACTGTAGGTATTTTAAGTTTTAATAGTTTTGGTAAAGCTTTATTCATCGAGGGCTTTAGTAACCCATTTCCCTTTATATTCCACTTAGGTAGCCTATGCTCTTGATCTGTTAATATCATTATTTTGTTTTACTAACCTACATTATTATTTATTACTACCCTACATTAAGACACTTGCAAGCACCTTTCATATTACTTTTCAGAAATGGGGTGGATGATGCCATAGATCTAGAATTGAGAAATGTGTGTGTGCACATGCATGAGCAGGGAAAGAGCTGCTGGCCTTTTCTGATGTGTGGGGAGCAGCAAATGGATCATCCTACATGTACAAAAAGTCACCACAGTGAAATGGCAGTGGTGCTTCTGTGTTACGACAGGTTTCACCTGAGCTGTGATCAAAAGTCTTGGCTGAACAATCTTAGCATTCCAATTGGATTTTCTAGCAGAATTTACATAGGTTTTCCTGCCCTGAATTTTTCAAGAGCAAATAACTGATAGCAACAAGACATCTGAAAATGACCTATTCTAGTGAGAGAGAAGAGCTGCTTCACCAAGTCAGCCAGTCACTGAATTTATAATTTCAGATGAGGTTAGGACAAATCACAAGCACAGAATGACCATTAAGAAAAGAAGGAAGAAAAGGTATCTTACCAGGATAAAGTCTCCCTTCAGCCAGCTGTCATCTTTTATAGCTTCATAGACTCCAACTTCCTTTCCTTTCAGGTTTACCTTTGCATGGTTAACATCTGGGTACTGAGTGGAGGAGTGGTTGCCCCAGATGATGACATTCTTCACATCATTAGCAGTCACACCAAGTTTCAGTGCAATCTAATTGGAAATTAAAGATSTCCATTACATTGACTTCAGCTTCTCAACTCACAGGCTTCTTTGAAAGCATTGCTCTGTTTGTATTTAGCAGAGATAACAGAATAGGCCCTGAATTTTACCTGAGATTTGGCTCTGTTGTGATCCAAACGAGTTAAGCAGCTGAAATTTTCCTTTGGTATGGATGGGGCGGACTTTGATGCAATCAGGCAGTTGGTATTTGCTGGATTCCCAACAACCACAACCTAAAAATGAAAAAGGGAAAGATGAAGTAGGTATTTCTGCAAAAAKAACTCCCTCTGGTGAAATACATTGCTTGGCCCTCGAAGAAATTATCTAAAAGTTAAGTTTTCTAATCTCTTGGTTGTCTTCAACAAGATTGTTTTCTAAGTGTGTCATTCATCATCCTCCAGTCTTCTATAACTGCATAGAAAAATATTTTCCAGGTAAGTATTTTCTTTAACTTGACATCCAATGTGAAAGGGAACAAAACTTCCAAGATCTGTACACTGAGAACAGCATGGCTTCAAACCTCATGTTACCAGATATAGGAAAAGAAAGATATGTGCACACTTGTCACCAACCTCTTTTAAACACTTTCTGGACTGGCTGCCACTACTTTATATAATTGCTTTACAATTAAGAAAGCCAAAGCAGTTACTTATCTTGATGTTCATAGGCAGTTAGAAGTAAAATACTGCCTCAACTTAGATCAATTTATTACTATGCAAAACTGATTTTTATTCATCCTTCATTTGTGCCTCAAATGACTTATGTCAAGTTCCATATACTCTCAATCACACAAGCTGATCTGCAAACCTCCCTTTGTATTTCCCCTTTTGAAAGTAAGTTCAGCAAATTTTCCACTACTTTGCAATAGTTATATTGATAGTTTTTATTCCAACTGGATAAAGAAGCAAACAAGTCTTTAGAAGCAGTAGGAAGTTCATCAGCAGAGGAGGCAGACATTAAAAAGTCAGTTACAAAGCACAGTCGGAGTCTGGGTCTGAGATTAGGAGCAGTGGGAGAGCAGCCACATGATCCCATTAACTGTGCTGAAGGAATYTGAGAGAGAACAATTAAAATCTTCCAATGCTCCAAAGAATGAGATGCAAACAACCTAAATAAAGCCGATTTTTTGTGCAACAGTAATTCCATATTGATACTGAAGTTACAGGTCTTTATGTTAAAGGACACAGATGGATATGAAGTAGGCAGCTGCATGTAGATTATTCAGTTCTCCCAGAGAAAAGAGATAATGAGCAAAAGACTGCTTTTTTTTAATACAGTTTTATGGGATTGTTTTTTTGAATTGGTGGTAACCAGTGCAGAGTGTATGTGGAATACAGCAATATAATGAAGACTTCCCTTTTTCACCAGACTTATGACCAAATCATCTACTTATTTAATATTCTGTTTCTTACGTAGCCTTGACTGTGGTCTATTTTCCAAGGCATAAGGGAAGGAAGACCTGCACTGAAAAGGCTTCTACAATGTATCCAGATCTCTACATACCAGTAACTGTTTTAAATTCACTTCCTATAATCACCTTGACAGTCTTTTTGGCATACTTGTCCAAGGCTGCACCCTGAGACTTGAAAATTTTCACATTTGCTTTGAGTAGATCCTTCCTCTCCATGCCCTCTCTCCTYGGCATGGAGCCAACCAGAATTGCTATGTCAAGGTCTTTGAATGCAACTTCCTCCTTGTCTGTTGGAATGACCTCTGAAAAAACGGAAAAGGGGGAAAAGAATTCAGCAAGATGAATACTCATGGCATAGTGCKAACAGGAATATTCTTTTGTGCATAAATAGTATATTATCTAACCTGACAGTACCACCACCCTCCCTTCCAAAAATACAACTATAGGCATTTGGCCAAACCTTCACACATTAAATACTTCCCAGTAAATGGCTTAAATTCACCCAAATAAAAAATACTTATCTAAATAATAAATATTTATCTCAAGTGGAAAACACAAGGGAAATATATGTAAAAAGATATAGTTCACATGTCTCTAAAACTATACATATAAGTACATATGCTTTTCTTCACTTTCACAGTGAAATTTCAGTGGCAAGTCCCCACCAACACAAGCGAAGTTTTTGTTCCCCTTTAACACTTCAAAGCAAAAAAGGTTTGATTTGTACAAGAGCTGGTACCTACATGCTTTTTTTGTCTCGTGTTATAGAAATTACACTAACATCTACTTGCTTCCCTTTCTTCTGCCTGTTTAAACTATGATAACTCAACTTGTTTACATGACTTGAGGAATGATTTTTTATTTTATGTCTTTATACAGAAGACACTTTAAAAACTGAATTAGTGGGGTTTTTTTATCTAGCAATAAATAATATATACATTATATAACAATAATATATTTTATATATATTTAACAGATGGGCCAGAATAAAAGGCACATATACACAAGAATCTGATAATTTGTTGTCCAGGCTGAAACCCCAGAATTAGACAATATAAACTCAGGTATCTGCACTGTAAATACTGCTCACAAAACTAATTTGATTTCATTCTTCTGAGCTTACAGGCTTAGTTAAATTGATTAGCTTCCRCAAAATACAAAACCAAGGAAGGATCATCTAAGATTTTCTTCTGCCTAACTTCCTGTCAGCTACACGGACTCATACATGCAACAGTTGTACTACAGTATCCTGGAGATATAAGAAAAAAATTTTTGGCTACCTCTGAGCAGCGGCAGAGCACAGTCCTGCAGCTCCATCACCACACCTTCCAATACCGTCATCATAGGAGTGATGTCCAGGAGCACAAGAATAAGAGGCTGGAAAGAAAGAAAAAGGTTTAGTGCAAGCTGGGCACAATTTGTTTTGAAAATTAATTTGTCTTCTACTCTGCTAGAAGCTTTTACTTCGTGCAAGATTTAAAATCCATTTGCAAAAAACAAACAACTTCAGCACAACCAAAACTGAAGGCTTGCATAACAGAGCAGGACTCCCATTTTCCCCACTTAAAGAAGAAATTACTTGGGAATTGGTAAATAATTCTGAATGTCTGTGAGGAAATCAGTCTCAGGCACTGCAGTTCTGACATTGTCTCATCTGTTCCTGTGCAATTCAATGTGAGGGTTACCTGGTCCTTGCCGAAGACATCGCCCTTGGCAATGCTGTAGAGCAGCGAGTAAGCGATCTGCCCAGCAGCTCCAGTCACCAGCACTCTGACAGGTTCACCCTGCAAGGAAATGACACAGCCTTACCCACAGCTCCACACCACAGCCTTACCCACAGCTCCACACCACAGCCTTACCCACAGCTCCACACCACAGCCTCACACCCCTTGAGTGTTAAAAATCACTTACTGCAGCAATAACATTATGATTATTTCACCTGGATGAAAGCATATGCCTGAAGGCGGATCATGCTTCTGGTTCTGCTAGAACCACCAGCAATTTCTCTGCTTGCTTTTACAGAAAAAGACCACACTTGCAAAAACATCTGTAAGAACTGCTCCGGGAAAACTTGCAAAATGCYAGGAAAAACGATATATTTGAAAAGTTTTGCATTCCTTTTAACAACACTGCCTTGTTAACCTAAGACAATGCAATATATACCCACTCCTTAGATTACCCATTCATATTTGAAATTTACTACAGAAGTTTTACTGCAATACTTGACTGSTTTCCAGATTCTTTCAATTTTGAGGGCTGTTCCCATTAAGATTTTTGAGACCGTATTTGCAACCAAAGACTTACTGAATGCCAGAAACCAAAGAATCTAGAGGACTTAAAACAACTGCCTCACTAAACTGTTAGGCAGCAATTTAACTAATCCACAGACAAAAGCTACATTATGAACAAATACAGACACTACTATCCATAACACAACTGTCTATTGTCAAACTGACCCAAAACTCCAAAGGACTGGGAGAAGACTGCCAGCATGTTACTATATTGCACACAAGAGGGGGAAAATGGCTTGCCCTGTAGTAAAACCCCATTTCATTAAGCAGAACTTGGGAGAAATCCAAAGATTATGCAATATTGAAAATTTAAGGCCGAGWGAGTTTGGGTGTTTCAGTCTGGAAAATAGAAGGTTCCAGGGAGACCTTAGGGTGGCTTTGCAATATCCAATGGGGACTTACAAAAAAGATTACAACAAACTTTTTAGTAGGGGYCRTTATGAAACGRCATGGGGCAATAGTTTWAAACTAAAAGAGGACAGATTTAGATAAGAAAGAAATACTTTACCATAARGGTGGTAAAACACTGGCACAGATTGTCCAGATAAGTGGTGCCTTCCCCACTCCTGGAAAGATTCAAGGTCAGGATGGGCAGGGCACTGAACAACCTGGTCTAGKTGAAGATGTCCCTGCTCACYGCAGGGGGGTAAATCAATGACCTGTAAAAGTTTGTTCAAACCCAAAGCATTCTATGATTCTATCAAAATGGAACACGTGCTAAAGGACATTCATAACCCAGTATTTTGCAAGYCTGTTATTTGTATTTCCCCTTTTCTCCAGAGGCAACAGGGCTGGGGCAGAYTGTGCTAGGACAGCAACAAGCAGACTGACCAGCCTGCTGGAATGGCAAGCCCACTTTTTCTAATGATTAAAAGATGATCATTTGAGATACAGACAAAATACCAGGCATAACTGAACATGAAARAAGTGATTTAATCACATTCTGGGTTACATTATGAAAAGTGTAGGCTGCAGAGCAAAGACARGCCTTCCACTCAGTGCTGGTGATCTTGCAGATGGAATAATGAGTCCAGTTTAGGCAACTTGAGTTTGTGTCCTGTAACAAGGAGGCTGAGGGTGTCTGGAAAGGTGGAGGATAAGGGGGGATCTAAAGCAGCCCCCAACACCTTCACAGTGTTACAAGATTACGCTCCCAAACACCTTCAGCAATGGCAGATGGCAACACTGGGTGCAAGAGCTACAAATTAAGAGCAAAACTCAGATTATGTGGTACTGTTGCAGCAGCACAGGGTACCMAGAGAGTCTGTATAACCTTTACCCCAGGCAGTTTTCACAGTCCAGACMAAAACACCTCTGACATGATCTATCAATGGCAACAGTCTTGCCACCAGGCTGGACTGGACCTCCTCTGGACTTGGAGTAAGAAACAGAGCAGACTGTATGACCTCTACAGATCCTTTCCAGCCAACATTCCTGTCACTGATATTTATAGGAAAATCATGCGGGGCTTTGAGTGTATTCTGTCTGCAGAAGTGAGCAGCCAAGCACAGCTGCATCACGCTAGTGTTAGGTAATTAAAAAAATGAGGCCACCTACTCCATTTCATCACATACTAGATAAAATCAGAGCACAAATGATAAAGTTAAACCACTGAATTTGCAGATTTAGACCAGGCCTACAKTATGGAAATGATTCTTTAAATATCTGGTTACATGACTACCCGTTACATGGTGTTGAATTGCACTATTTTCTTTTGAACTTGTCCTACTATGAGTCACACCCCTCAAACTTCATCGAAACTCCACCAAGGGGGGGAAGTAGGGCAGACAGTCAATTCTTGCTGGTTTAAATCTCAAAACTAGTTTTGGTTCTCTATTCTTGAGCAGGTAAATGTACCATAACATCTGAACGATGATGTGCATCAAATTTTAAAGCCAATGTTTCAACACATTTCTAAGATGAACCTTCTTTTTTTATTTATATAAATGGAACAATGAACACTCTTTTAAGGCAGGTACCCACACTAGTTAGAAAAATAAGCACTGGAAAGTTACAGTGCTGCAAAACCTCAGCCTGGCAAAATACCCATCCGTTGCACATAAAAACTGATCCCAAGCTAAGCTACTCCAGAACTCACACAGGTAGCAGCAGAACTTATTTTCTTTACATTATATGATATCTGAAATTAATTGTGAACTGATTTCTGAATTTCCAGTGAATGRTACAAAGATTTTAAGGCTCTTTCTCCTAAAGAAGTGTCACAAAAGGGGGGAAGTCAATGAACATTTTTTCCACTCTATGCACTTCATACACTAATCTGATTTAAACATATAAAAACACCAATCTTCCACTAGCATTATGGTGACCATTTAGCACACCAATTGGACAGTGAAGGAGTAGAAGATAAAAAGGATAGAGATAGGACTATTTATTGCTTTTTTGGTGAGACAAACTTAGCATTTAGAAAAACTTTAGAAAAAACCCCAGACCTTCAGGCATGACTCAGCTTCATCTTCCAACATAATTGGACACTTTTGGATACATAATGTTTGCTTACTACCATCCTTCCTGTTGTCCCTCCATTTGGGACTGGAGGAGGAAAAAAATATGAGCTAAAATAAAACGAAAAATACTGCCTACTTGTTTTTCCTCTTCAAACCTCCAGCACATTGGATTCAGTACGTTCCCCAGAACCCTTTACTCCTGTGCCAATTGTGAGCATTTAGCATCAAAGAAACTTTCATGCTCTCTCTTAAATCCAGACGCTGGATTAACAAACCAAAACTGTTGTGCTTCTTACAAAATGTGGATAACTCTCACCAAAAATCTTACATCTTGTATTAAAATTAATCTCATTGAATGTCTGAGACTACTTTTAGAGAAACGAGAAACTCCCTGATAGAARTTGTAGGTTCCAGACATTCATGTCCAGGCGCTTTAACCCGTGACTTGGCTCCTGCAAGACTTTCATGCTGTGGTAGCTACAGGGGTGACCTTTACTGRCTCTCAGGTATACAGGAACTAGAGGACAAATTAACCAACAACTAACGGAACTATTTTTGCTCCAAAGCCTTCCCYACTCCACATTCTGCCAATATATAACTAAAAAGCTTTAAGAAAGTAAGAGTAGCAAAAGCAAGGATAAAAAGGATAAGGAAGAAACCCCCAACAACTGAACATTGCATTCCCAACTACCCTTTTTTATCTAATTCAGCAACTGTAGGATTTATCCTCCTCCTAAACTACMAGAGATAAAAGCAAAGCCTCCAATATCAAATGAAGAAGTTGTGGGCTTAACACCCACCTCACACACTTTGGTTTAAGAACTCGGTGCCTCAGTTATTTCTGTGATTACAGCTGATATCAGCAGATCTAAAATATTAGTGCCACACCTGCAAAAAGCACTGCACTGCAGAACTGATTCAGGAGGTTACAAAGGTAACTCAAAGATAACTCACAACATATCAAATGTTGTGACAGGAACAACCTGACTACACAAGTGATAATTTGCATCRAAAGACCTCTATAAACATTACTGCTGATAAACTTGTCTATAAAATACCATAAACTGAACATTATTCCTGAATATTACAGCCRACTAAGCTATTCCACCTTGTTTTAYAAGAATGATTTAATCATTAAAATAAACTTTAATCTCTTCCAAAGTTTAGAGTCTGCCTAAGAAACTTTTCCTTTGCTCTCCCTTCTTTAAAGCAGAGATGTGGTGACAATAAACATGCTTGGAAATGTAATAAAAGGTATCAGCAAGGCAGCTGTGCACTTGAGGAACACCACCAGCCCTGCAGTTCAGAGACCAAAGGAATTCCAAAGGCACTCCTTCCTTGAGAAACGACCTTGACACAGGTGCCCTGAAAAATCTTTTCCATTTTATTAAGCTAATGGCATTTGCATTGACAGACAGATGACTTTATTTCAGAAATTTAAATCCTCTGCCCATGCATAACTGGAACAGCAAAGGCAAGATAYAAACAGTGACATTCTGAAAAGTCCGGACATCAAAGTAAGTTATAACCAGCAGCTCTCTGTGAGACCAGCACATCCATGTCAGCCAATGCTTTGAAAGCTCAAACACAAGCTAAAACTTGCATGTTGTCACTCCTGTAAATCCGTATTTTAAACAATGGAAAAATAGGATAAAGTTTGCAGATTTTGGTAATTTTTATGGTACAGTTGAAATAAGCCACGTTTCAGAGCATGCAAGCATCCTTTCTAGAGCAAAATACTAAAAGTGAGGGTTTCAAGTGGATTGAGCCTCGAAAAACACAGGAAAGCAAGGTCTCTGTGCAGGTTTGTATTCTATTTATAGAATTTCTGCTTTGCAGAAAAGCAAAGCACCGCAGTTCACCGGTGTAACCTCAGGGCAGAACTAGCAGGACTCCCTGACAATCAGGAGAGTCTGAACAAACAGCTGGATTTCCGACAGCAAGCAGGGATGAACCAATAAAGACATTTCACAAGCACTTTCCCTTGAGCTAACACAGAAYCGCACCAAGCCCTTTCAMGCCTCMYGAACGAAGGCKYTGGCAGCCCCCATCTCCCGAAGGCRATGCCGCCGACCGGGAAAARGCGCGATTACTCCRGAGTGCCAGYCCTAGATCAGGGAGGCTCCGTTCCGATGGGGCCACATCCATCGGGAGAGGCAGAACCGCCGCCAGGCCGGCACCGACCCCACGTCCCCGCCTGGAAGGAAGGTCACCCTGGAGCGGCCTCCGTGGGGGCTGAGGAGAGCCCTGAGGCGCCGCCAGGCCCGGCTCCTCTGGGTGCCACGACCACCTCCAGGTCACCCCTGCCCCTCACACCGCGGGCCCTCCCGGGAGCAGCGCGGTCAAGCGGGGAGGGCAACGCCATTTCGAGGTCACCTCCGCCAGCCGGAGCCCCGTGCCCCAACCCGAAAAAACCCGAGGTTCCGCCGCGGGCCCCAGGGCGCGTTATACCGACCATGTCTGCGGCAGCAGCAGCGGCTCCGGCTACTCGAGGTCACCTCTGCGGCGCAACTGCGGCCGTGSCAGCGCTGCGCCGAGGTGCCGTGCTGGGGCGGGACGCACCGGCCGCGCGCGGCCGCCTGGGGGYTGTAGTCGCGGGTGCCGCCGGCCCGTATTGCAAATCTGCCGGAGAGAACTACAATTCCCAGCGTGCCACGGGAGCAGCGCGCCGCACCCCCGCGCGCCATTGGCGACCGCCGCTCACCCCCCCTCCCCTCGCCCCATTCATTGAAGAGCAGCGCGGCGCCACAGAGGTTGGGCCGCTAGGGGGCGGCGCGCGGCTCTCTCCGCTGCGCATGCGCGCGGCGGGGTGGGGCGGGGGCTGCGGCAGCGCGGGCCTGGATATGCGCATGCGCGCGAGGCAGGGCGCGTGCAGGGGGCGTATGCAGGGGGCGGCGCGCGGTGGCGGCGCATGCGCGGTGGGCGGCGCGCGCGGTTGCTGAGGTGACGCGCGGGACAGACCCCGCGTCCTCGGAGCGCTCGGTGGGTGCGAGTGCGCGGCCGGGCCCTGCCCTGCCCTGCCCTGCCCTGCCCTGCCCTGYCCTGCCCTGYCCTGCCCTGYCCTGYCCTGTCCTGTCMGACCCGSCGGGRCATCCCAGAGCCGCCCGGCCCCCGCAGCCGCGATCCCAGGGCGGGCAGAGCGTTCCTTTCGGGTTCCCGCGCGTTTCCCTCCTGCCCGGCCTCCTGTGGGGAGCTGCCGGCGCGTCCCCGGCGCTCCAGCGCGTTGCCCTGAGGTGTTTTACACTTCATGAAATCCTGCCATGCTATCCTTTTGGTTTTCAGGGAAAGCTGAGAGCTTACCTAGGCTATTCCGCTGGTAGAACTGCGTGGCTAAACTAGCGGTCTTTTGTACAAAAATAAAGCTGGTCGTTTAATTGTATTTTGGATTGTCGAGTGAAGTAAATTCCTTTGGTCTGGCTTAAAAGGAGGCTGGTACTGACTTAAATACATCAGCAAAATACAGCTTCGTAAACTGTTGTAAGGATGTGAAAGAGGGTCTTGGGTAGCACAGTTCATTTTTCTTTTCCCTCAGATCCTGACAGGATTCCCTATTAGTTAAGTATTTCGTGGAGTCTCACTTGCCCTGGTATTTTTCTGCAGGATTAGTTTTAAATCTTACTCTAATCCTTATAGTAGGTTGTTTTCAAAAATCATACTGTCCAAGCAGCCTRTATACTTAGGCAATTTCTTCTTCAGTTCTTCGGCAGAAATGGGAAGTTACTCCTTTAAGGCAGCGGGCGTCAAATGTAAATATTGATGCTTGTCAGTTGTGCCAAGTGTTCCCATTTTAGTGATTCTTATAGCCAGTTTTAGTGATTCTTGTAGCCAGTTTTAGTGATTCTCAAAGGCTTGAAGGAGCCTTTGAGCCCCTGACAGCTTTTGCAGTACGGAGAATGCAGTGTCAGGGTGGAGGAGGTACAGCCCTGCTTGGTTTATTTTTAAAAGGTCGAGCTGTACTGATTTATATCAGTACATAACCGTACGTGGATATGGATGTTTTTAAYATGGATGAAGGCTGTGCCCAAGTTCCCTTCTGGGGATGAATTTGAAAGCCAAATAGCTGCAAGGAAAGMTGAGGGCTGGCTGGCTGTGAAGTGTAGGGAGGCTTGGAAAGTAGGGGGTAAGAGTTAAACTCTGTTCAACGCAGAGTTTTCCAGGGTGTCCTAAGATATTTTACCCTGGTGACTCTTAACCCTGCACCCAGACGTTGTACAGGCTTAATTAACACTATTTAATATTGTTAAAGATTTAATTATACACAAAACCTGATGTGGGCCCACATAAGGTAATTGCCGCTGACCTTAATTGGTTCAGTTTAAATTGATTTCTTATCAATTTTCAGCTAAATCAWTATTAGCAGGCCGTAAACTGATTTGTCTGTTTCAGCATAGCAGATTATATTGATTTAGTGGATTTCAGTTAAGAGCAGAACTTGAAATTTTCAAACTTCCTTCTGTAGGTAAGACTCCCTTCTCATTCTTGGTCCTTTTTTACCCAGACTTGTTCTTCCTGAATTATTTGCTCTCGGACATAGTAACAAATCTTGTTACTTTGTGTTGAAAGTGATTTTTTTTTGATGTAAAGCCACGTGTAAACGCTTTTGTTTGTCAGAAGCATGTTTATCAGTTTAGTTTCAATCTGTTCYCAGTATAATTAGTCTAAGATGGACTGAATTGTCATCTGTGCTGCTTTAACTAAAGATACTGTAAAATGTTGCCTTTTATGAATGTGGTGTGATTTTTCAAGTTAGCAGAACTTAACAATTCTAGTATTTCCTTCTTAAATGGCCCAAAATTTTATTTCTACTTGTTAAGCTTTAATGTTTTCCGAGAAAAATTTAAATATAATTTAAAAAATATTCTTTAATGCTTCCCAATATTTTTATACTATGAGTCTTTTGTGTATCACTTTAAGCAAAAAAGTTGCATAAATGGAAATATGACGTGCAAATGAAGTAATGGAAATTTAAAATGAAGTAATGCAGATTTAGTGTGCATGTGAATTGGGCTCTTGACTAACTCTTCAAATACACTTTGCAGTTTTTGCACTTAAAAGACACTGAATTATGTGGAAATAGGTAATTAAACAACACACTGAAGTATTAACATGTTTTAATYTCCATTTTCTGGGGATTAAGTATTATTTTTCAAGGCAAATAGTAGTTTTGAAGGGTAGTCTGCCAGAATTCTCTCTCAATTTTTAAAAAAAATATTTTAAAATGAATTATTCTCTGTTAACAGCTGCTGTGTTCTTTAACTATATTTTGGATGGGATTTTGTTTTACTTCATTGCCATCTATAGAAACTGATGCATATTTTTAGGTAAGTTTTTATACTTAATTTTCAATAATTTATGAGATTTTCTTTTTATCATCCTCTCTTCGTGTAATACAGTTTTTTATTTTATGTGTTTACTTGCAATTTTTGTTATCAAGTTATGTCTTTTGTAGCTAAGTCTGTGTGATATCATTAATGTTTAGAATGCGTAAGACTATGTAAGAAAAATTAACTATAAAACATCCAGGTTCARTCCTACAAATGTTTGAACTGAAATAGTTTTGGAAATCTCTTCTGGTCCAAGGAAATATTAGCAAATAATTTTTTCAGAAATAAAACWTTGCAGAAAAATACTGAGATAGAATTAAGAGGATCAAAGTTATTGTGAAGTAGGTGAGAACTCTGTAATAGAGTTCTAAAAAGATAAAGATACGAGCAAGACCAATTTAAATCGTAGTTTAGAAAATTAGTACAGGGTTGGAGATTTTTTTTTGCTCTGAGTGCTAATGCCCAAAAYTTGATTTTTCACTTGATTTTTCACTTGATTTTTCATTTTTAAACTTCAGTCATATATTACTGCATGGACATTAAATGCCACGAAGAAACTGATCTATAAATTCTGCCTATAATCCTGATTTTCTTTTTGCTGTGGTAAAAATTTTATCASTTAAGGAAATATTTTGCTTTCTGCAGAACTGGTTTGATTTTTTGCTATGGCTCATTTTTAGTTCTTAATAGTTTAGTCGTTTTTTTAAATAAAGTTGAGTAATTAATAATTAATTGATTTCTACAGCCTTCATCATGTTTTTAATAAGTAGCTAKGATGCAATAACACATTGTGTACTCATGTGCCTGCTTCCTATGAAGAGACACAAATGCTGTATAGCTTGTTTGTAATATGTATTAATAGTCTTTATGAACTATTCATGAGTCAAATGTTAAAAAAAATTGTGAACAGAATGTTCTTTTTTTTTTTTTTTTTGAGTAGGTTGATAGT